GGAACGTATATACAGGGTGTTCTTATGGTAATGTAATACGTAGCACGATTTTTTAAGTATTTTTGATTTGACAATGAATATTTTATATAAAAGTAAAAAGAAAAAGAAAATGCTCAAAAAATTAATTTTCCATAAAAGTTTTTATTTAAAGATAAATTATTACTTCATATAGCAATACTTATTTTTGTCTTTATGAGTTTGTTGTTAGTATACTATAATTTCCAGATAACCTCGAAATGATATATTTCCAATTATATATTTTCTATATTTCAGAAATAAATTTTAGCAATTTGATTGTGTATAATTAAAAATAAATGAACTGAAAATTTTTATTTCGTGATGATTATGATATTCTATATGATACTCGTGAGCAAAGAATAATTGTTATTATTATATTAATTAATAAACAATTTTAATACGAAATTCTTTAAAAGACAGTTTAAACATTGAGAAAAAGTTTAAACAACCTTTATAATAACTGGATAAATAAGATCCTGTAAAACTATCAATTTTTTAATTAGTATTCAATACTCTTACAGTTTCATTATCATATACCATATAAGAAACAAAGTATTTTCATATTCTTTCAATTTTCATTTGCACATTTTGCAGTATTTTGGTTACAAACAAATTCTTATTTCTTAATTAATAACATAAACGTTATAAACAATATTATTCCACATAAGGCTCATATCAATCGACAAAACCTAATTTCATTAATATTTTCAAAATGCTCTCACATTCCTGAAAAAGTAACAAAATTATTTTACTATAAACTAAAAATACACGTTATAAAGAGTATTAATTGTTAATGTCGAATGTCAAATGTTTATAAGTATCAAGAGTGTCAATTTATCACGAAAACTCAATTAAAAATGGCCACGAACGAAATGGTCCTCTCATCGTAACTTATTTACGCCCTATTATTCCTTTTCAAGTTTGTTTTTGTTTCATTCTCGTATTACACGACGAAAACTCTCTATGGTAATGGTTAACATAGATTTTGAATATATATGTGTTGATATAATAAAGGAGCGATGTCTGTAAGAAAGGGACGAGTGGGACAAGTGTGCATGGGATGCCAATATTTAATGGATTCAGGTTATCGTGATAAATGAGTATGCGTGCAATGATCGAGGTGTGTGTGTGAATTGTGTATGTCATGTAACGTATGAAAGCAGAAAGAACAAACCAGAAAGATTGGGCATAGGTCAGTTGTAATTGAGTCGTAATAGTGAAAATAGGTGTGAGCGTGTGATTGCGAGAAATTAATTAGATTTCTACTTAATATTTGTGTTTGATCATTTTTTTGTAATTAAATAAAGAATTGTTCTTATTGTTATTGATGTTTCATCCACCATTAACACTCTCGTGCATGAGATACTTTCTCTTTACAATAATGGATTCGAGAAAACCTGAAAGTCGACAATTATCGAACGCGTTGCGATTTTTAAATTCAGGTCAGATATTGAATATCGGAAATATGCATTCGAATGAAAAATTTGTCCACTCTGCTGTCGATTTTAGCATTTACACCTTGTAGGGGATACCTATTTCCAGCGTTAACGATATTAAAGGGAGAAAACTCACCGCTGACCTCGATCGCTTAATTGACTAAAGTAATCGTTCGAAAAGCGAAAGCCTCGAAATTTCCAGATTATCGAATTTCAGAAGAGAAATTACTTTTATACACTTACTTGTATTATCTCGAGTAATTTCCCAACTAATTTTACTTGAGATACTTTGTTTATAATCTTTGAGTTTGCGAATGTATAGTGAGTCACAGAATTATTTGTACACTTCCTATTATCGGTTTTAAATAATTGAAAATATTTCTGAAAAAGGGGTCTATGAGGGAGCTTGTTTTGTTCAATTGTTTTTAATGAATTTCCGCAATTTTCAAAAATTTACTTGCAATATTTCGACAATTAAGATAAATAAGGACTTTGAACTTGGTTTCCATTTTTATATATTCAATGTGCATGAAAAGACAGAAATTTTTTAATTAAAAGACAAACTGTCTTTTAGATATATTAATAACCCATTTTCAACCTATTTTTGCATAATCTTTATTTTATTACATAGAAATGGAATTTTTTAAATACATTTTCCAGCAGGTTGTAAAAGAATATATATATTTCGACTTTAAAACACGTATCTAATTTTAATAAAAATATTTGTGGCGACCAAGTTCTCACTCTCGCCAATAGATGAATCTCTACTGGAAGGAGGTTCGAGAATTTCCTCCCAAGTCCTCGGTGAAGCCTCGACCTCCCTTAAATCGAAGTTCCTGTGCGACCTAAGTATTCCTGGTCTAAGGCAGGGTCTGCTAGGGTAGTATAATATAATCTTGAAAAAAATAAAAAACATATATACCCTATCTACCCCCTCTTCCCTCATCCCCCTTTCCTCCTATTTATTTAATTATTTATTTTATTTATCTATCTATTTATTTATTTATCTATATTTATTTATCCACCCCCTTATCCACCCCCTTATCCACTTAAAACCAAAAGCTGTATAGTTTTCGTGCTTTTCCTATACATAGGCAAACCCGCATGCTAATATAAGATAATTCTTAACCCATTTGCATCATGACTCTACTTAAGGTGCCGTGTTCAGGCATCACCGACATTCAACCGACGACTAGCCTGTATCACCGCGCGCGTATCAGCACCTACTCATAATGGCAGTTAAAAGGATTTTCACAACAAAAGTAAAACTTGTTAAGAATATAATGAACCGATGTAGATGAGATGCTTACAAAAGGGATAAAACGTGATCTGTGGCATATGAAGAATATTCAGCAGCTGATAATGGAAAAAGTCAACGGGCGGATTATTCCGCACTTGGTGATAGGCGCCAGTCGTAGCTCGCGGAATATTCCGCGCTCGGTGATAGACGACAGTTGTGGCTCGCGGATCCGCGCTCGGTGATAGACGACAGTCATGGCTCGCGGAATATTCCGCGCTCGGTGATAGACGACAGTCATAGCTCGCGGAATATTCCGCGCTTGGATGCAAATGGGTTAAGTTTATATTACCCTATAGCGATAAGCACGGTAGATTAAGTTTGATTCTAGATCGCGAATGCTTCACGCTCGAGCCATCGATCTAATAGTCTAAGTATTCATTTGTAACCCTTTTGTACGTTTTGGTTCTTCTTTTATATGTATATTATTGTTTCTGGCGCATTAAACAAAAATAAATTGGGCCTGCTAGGATAGCCTTACTGATGAGTCCACTAGCAAGCCCGGGGACCAAACGCATCCCTTCCTTTTCCTCTCGTCCTTCTACTTGCTACCCTATCAATACCAACGACGACCGCGGGGTTACCCAACAGGCCAGCACCATAGGAACGCCAGTCCCATCATAGGAATCGCAACAGACTAGACCGAAGACAAACGGAGCTCTGAACATGAAACATAAGATACCCCGTGGGAGGACCACCACATTTCCCAAAAATTATTCCTTTGAAAATGGTACCTATCTCTAGGTCTCACCTGGTCTCACTATGCATCGAAACTCGGACATTGCGCGGTGGTGACACAATCCTACTGGCGCTATATGTTTCAAAGATACCCTAATCTAACTTGGAGTGAAAGAAGTTAAAGCGGAGCTACTGACACTTTATTAAATATCGTGTCTTACAAAGGTACTTGTATTAATACTGTAGCGTCCTATTTATCGAATCCCTTCGATGTCCTAGAACGCTTATCACGCGCCAAATTAATATCGCGTGACTAGTTGTAATAATAAGGATCCCGAAGTGCGTGTTGATAAAAGAGAGCGTTTATTTATAGAAAGTATAGAATAGTTATAATGGAGACGTTGAACGGGGTACCGTTTCGAACACGCGTTTATACGTGTAAGTAAGATGTTTCAAGGATCGGTGTCGAAGACGAACCGATTTCTCGAATTTGATCTATGTCGCGTCTCGTCGTGTCCTGTCCGGTGTTTTCTCCAGTTTAGTTCCGATTGGGCAAAATAAACGTTGGTGGTAGAAAAGTAAGGAGTTTTAATTGGACAGAGGGTGTGGCGGAAGGACCTTTGGCTAAGGAGTAGGAAACTGTCAAGGAGCCGATTTTTGATGGTCAATGACGCGATTTATAAGCGGTGTCCGTCCGTCGCTCGTTGGGTCTGTCACACGTGGGTCACATCTGTCGAGTCTGGTACTTGTAAAAATTCCTAAACTTTCGCCTTTACCTTTACAACTTAATCCGCTAGAACAGGCGGTGAGGCATATCTATCCTCTGGAATTGCAGTCGCGATATAAAATATATTGTAAACCGTTAGGTCTGTTAAAAGTGTAAGCCTTAGAATAAAAGTCATCTTATAAACACGCTAAACTATCAAAAGGTACTAATACCACCAGGCCAGTACCATAGGACACCAGTCCATCATAGGAACCGCAACACAGTGACTAAAACGTAATAAGCCTCTCCCTTGAAGACAGAATATTTGGAATGGTATCTACCCTAAATCAGATATCCACATTTCCTACATACTCTTAATGGAAAATTACATTTTTCAAAAATGCATCTCATAGTAGATAATTTCTGCTTTATCTATGGATCTATAAATCCATATTCACATTTTTTAAAACCTTCTCGAATTTTTCTAAATAAGTCACCCGAGAAATTGCAAACATTTTTAATTATGCGTCATATCTAAAATTTATTTCCTACGATGCATCGTGCGAAATGAACACGAGCTCGTTCATCAAGGATCATAAGAGCGAAGGATCGGCGCCATTGTGGTTAAATTCGCGGTTCGAGGCGCGAAGTTTAATTTGTAAAAGCTGCAGTCCATGGCTCGATATAATAAAAGCTCTGGACGATGCTTTTGTCTTGGCTTTGAAAGTTTCAATTTATCGTCACGGTACCCGTAACATTGTATGCAGAAGTTCCAAGGTTCGTTCGGTGTTTTTCCAAGGTGTTGGAAGCAATTGGTCGACTGCGGGCATGGATAATTATAGGGGGATAAAAGATAATAGGTTACCTTGGACTCGAACGCGATGACTTCCCGCAATTCCCGCAAGAAGGCACCAAAGAACGGCACAACTGGACATTCTGGCATTGCCAAGGATCGAGCAAGCGCGAATTCATACTCGGCGGACAGAAGGGCGGAGGAGAGACTTTCCAAAACTGGTACTGGCTCGTTCACGCAGAAGGTTTTTAGTTTGTTGGATCTGTAAGAAAGAAGAGGAATTTTTTAAGTTTCTAGAAATTTCAGCATGCGATGATGAGGGAATATTACTATCTTCTTCGCACTCGGTGATTCTTTCCGTCATAAAAATTGAATAGCAATTGGAAAATTTTCTGAAATAAAGTCGATGACATTTTTTAGAGTAGTAAATAAGAAATTGTGTTTAACTAACTATTTTATTTCAATAACTTGCACATCGTTACGTTATCTTAAATTTAATATATTAATCAATATCAATCTTTAGAATTTTATTAAATGGCGACAGATGGTTTTCACTTGAGTGCAAAGGCTTACAGATATATACATATATGATAGATATACTAAAAAGAAACAAAAGTATTATATCTACTCTGAAATATATTGTGTTAGAATTAAAATATATACACACACAACATATAATTATATAATATAATAATTTAGT